CAAAATCAACTAAAGGAACAGTTGCCACCTACAAGAATACTGCCCAAAAGGGCAGCTCCACGAGTAGATGATGATTAAAACTCTCATATGGAATATAAGGTCTGTTAAGACACAACAAGCCTCTCAAAGAGTTATCAACATGCAAAAGGAACATGGTTTCTTCGTTATAGCACTTATGGAACCTTTCCAAAATCAAAGGTTTATTCATAATTACATGAGGACACTAGGCATGGATGCTACGATTTCAAATGTCAATGGCAAGATATGGCTCTTTCTGGATTCAGTTATGTAGTGGGATTTGTTAATTGACACAGAACAACAACTTACTATCAGAGTCTATCATGAAGATATTGGTAAATATATCATGATGACTTTCGTGTATGCAAAGTGCTCATCACTGGACAGATTAGAACAATAGGACAGTTTATACTATCTTGCAAGTGACATGGAACTACCATGGCTAGTTAGAGGGGATTTTAATGTGATTTTGAATAAAGAAGAGAAAATTGGAAGGCTTCTAGTGTACCCTCCAGAATATGAAGACTTCGCCTTCTGTTTAAACTCATGTGGACTATTTGACACTGGTTACAAAGGAAGTCCTTTCACATGGTGGAATGGGTGGCCATATACAACATACATCTTCAAAGGACTGGACATAATTCTTGTTAATTCCCCATTCCAATCTATATTCCCAATTACAAAGGTGGAGTATCTAATTAGAACAAGTTCGGATCATGCACCACTATTTATGACTTGTAGTGACCAGACTACCGCATTTGCCAAACCATTTAAGTTTTCGAATTTCTGGACAAAACATGCCTCTTTTATGGAGGTGGTTAGACAGAATTGGCTGGCCGACGTCACAGGTGACCCCTTCTTGATGTTCAAACAGAAAATAAAAAGAGTTAAGCTTACTCTTTCAAAATGGGGCAGGCTCACTTACAGGGACATCTTTAAACAACTGGCTTTAAGGGAATATGTTGTCAGAATAAAGGTAATGTTGTTTAAGAAGAACTAACAGTTGAAAATAGAATTATACTTCAGAAAGCACAATCCGAGTTAAAGAGATATCTGAGTATAGAGGAGCAATATTGGAAACAAAAAGCTGGTATGTCCTGGTTTGCAGAAAAAGACATAAATACTAGATTCTTTCATAACCATGTCAATGGTAAAAGGCAGAAACTCCAACTGAAGAGAATCCAGAACCATGATGGTAATTGGATTGAGTCACAAGATCAGCTGGCTGAGGAAACAGTAGAATCTTTCCAGCAATAGTTCACATAAGAAGTTGATCATACAAGCTTTGAGCTACTCAACAATGTGCCTTCAATGGTGTCTTGTGATAAAAACATAGAGCTTTATAGAATTCCTACAATAGAGGAGGTAAAAGCATTGGTATTTGCATTGAGTGGTAAAAGTGCAGGTGGTCCAGATGGTTTCACAGGTATTTTCTTTCAAGAATGCTGGGATATAATAGGGGAAGACATACATGAGATGCTGAAACTATTTTATGGAGGAATATCTTTGCCTAAGTCTATAACCCATACAAAACTTGTCCTGCTACCAAAAAACCAGAGGTTCAAACATTCACTGATCTAAGGCCTATTAGCTTAAGCAATTTTATAAATAAAGTGATCTTCAGAGTTGTTCATGATAGACTGGAAAAAATACTGCATTCTTTGATCTCTTCCAATCAATCAGGATTTGTCAAGGGGAGAAGTATATTTGAAAATATTCTGTTAACACAGGAGATTGTTACTGACATACGATTAAGGGAAAAACTTGCCAATGTAGTTATCAAACTTGACATGACAAAGGCATATGATAGGGTCTCCTGGAAGTATTTAATATATGTTTTGAGGAAAATGGGATTTGCAGAATACTTCATCAACATGATATGGAATCTACTTTCCAACAACTGGTATTCCGTTCTGAATAATGGTCAAGCTTCAGGATTCTTTCACTCAACAAGAGATTTCAAGCATATGGATACTCTCTCTCCAGCCCTATTCATACCCTCTGCATAGGTACTATCTAGGTTTTTAAATAAACTATTTGAAGACAAGTGATTCAACATCTTTGGGATGCCAAAATGGACTGATCCATTGAATCATTTAGCCTATGTGGATGACACTATAATCTTTGCTTCAGCTGATCCATACTCTTTAGGGAAGATTATAGAAGTCTTGTCCAAGTACGAGCACACTTCAGGACAAATGATCAACAAGACAAAGAGTTCCTTTTATATGCATTCTACCGTGTCTTCAACATCTTTCAACTCTGTAGGTACAATTACTGGATTTTCAAGGGGTGAGTTTCCATTCACTTATCTTGGTTGTCCAATATTCTACACAAGAAAAAGGAAGGATTATTACAATGACCTGATAAAAAATGTAAAGGCAAATCTGCAGTCTTGGAAAGGGAAGCTGTTGTCCCATGGGGGGAAACCTACTTTAATCTGTAGTGTCCTACAAAGCATGCCTACACACATCCTCTCTGCCATTTATCCACCTGAAAATGTACTTGAATACCTTCATAAAACCTTTGCGAGATTCTTCTAGAGTAACAAGGAAGAATGTATAAGTAGACATTGGACAAAATGGAAACATCTATGCCTATCAAAGGAAGAAGGGGGGGTAGGTTTTAGATCACTGCATGATGTATCAAAAGCTTTATTTGCCAAATTGTGGTGGAAGTTTAGGACATACAAGTCTTATGGTCTAATTTTATGTGGAACAAGTACTACAAAAAAGGAGCTACCAACAGTTGTCCAAGTTAGAGAAGGGTCTCATGAATGAAGGAAAATGTTAGAGGCTAGGGAAGAGGTGTAGCATGAAATACTATGGAAAATTAAAAGGGGATCTACTAATGTTTGGTATAAGAATTGGACTGGACTGGGAGCTCTGTACCATATTGTTCCAAATGACTATACAATCAATGAAGATATACAGGAAGTAGCTGACTTGAGAGTGGATGATGCGTGGGATAAGCAACTCCTGGATCAGTCTTTTCCTATAGACATTGCTCAACATATCAGACAGGAAGTCCTATTTGACACTATTGACGATTGCTGGGATTTTCCTAGATGGATGCCTACACCCTAAGGAAACTTTTCTGTTAGTAATGCTTGGAAAATTTTGAGGCGTAGAGCACATTCTATTCCTAATTACATTAAGATTTGGAGTAAAGGTTTACCTTTTAAAATCTCCTTCTTCTTATGGAGATTGTGGAAGGGGAAGATTCCTAATTATAATTTGTGGAGAAGAAGTGGATATATGGTGGTGTCTCAGTGTTGGTGTTGTTCACAACCACAATAGGATTCTTTTCAACATTTGTTCTTAACTAGTGAAACTGCAACTAGAGTATGGAAAAACTTCCTTCAAGCAGCAGGTTTGGTGGTCAATCTGGCATAGGTGCATCAAGTAATAAGAACATGGTGGAATGCAAAGTGTTGTCCTAAACTCATGCCATTATTACAGGCAGCTCCAGTAGTAATTACATGGGAACTTTGGAAGATGAGAAATACAATGAAGAATAAAGGTGGAATTTCTTGCAATAGGGTGATTCATGAAGTGAATAAGACATTACATTATCTAGCAAGGGTGAGGTATCCATGGTTGTCCAGAATTCCTCTTTTATGGCTAGATATAATCAGCTTGTTTGAGGGTTACAAGCCATATGTGGAGACTAAGAGTGTGACACAGCAGCTTCCTTATGAAGGGTGGTACAAGTGGAATACCGATGATGCATCAAGAGGCAATCTAGTACCAAGCTCATATGGCTTTTGTGTACGAGATCATGCTGGTGATTTGGTGTTTGTAAAAGCAAAGGAGATAGGGGAGACAACTAATATAGTGGCAGAATCAAAGGCAATTGTGGAGGGGTTGGCATACTGTGTTGAAAGGCAACTTAATCCACTAATTATAGAGACTGATTCCTTGGTGATGAGGAAGATAATTTATGGGGAATGGGCAACTCCATGGTGTATAGGTGCTGAAGTAAGGAAGCTCAAGAAGATAAAGAACAACTACAATGTTGTCTTTCAGCATGTACTAAGGGAAGGGAACAATGTTGTAGATTTTCTTGCTAACCTAGCTTTCTCTTTTGCAGGTAGACACATTTTAGTCATTTCATGAATTGCCAATTGAAGCAAAAACAACTGATTAACATAGACAAATCAAAAATTCCTAACCTTCGGATTAGGATTGTGAAGAGAAGAGAACCTAATTGATGAGCATAACATATAAAGATTTACCTCTTTTTCATTCATAATTATGCTCTCACAACAGTAAAGCCAAGCTTTTAAAGACAAGTAGGCAAGTCAAATACAACAATCATCTTTTTAGCACCACCAAATGCAACAGGAAATCAACATTCCAATAACAGTAACCCAATAGTTTCTAACAAGAATCACTTCTACACCAGCTAGCCTTCATAAGCATGCAGTTTCTCTCATCTGTATGGTGTAGATGTTTGTTTGGTTATAGCTGTCATTGTTAAAAACCAAAATGTAGTGGATCTGCTGCTTCATTTACTCTACTGGGCTTACATACACGAGGCTTGAAGGGTGTAGATGCTTGGTTGGTTTTGGCTGCTATACTTAGTGCGATTTCAATATGCCAACCAAACAGCAGCCACAGTCCTCCTTCAAAGCGAAAGCCTCTTCAATGCTCCCAGAAGACACAAGAACCTAGGAGCACAAACTCCATTCCTAACTTTGTTTCATACATTTTGCAAGTCCCAAAATTAGGCTCAGAAAACTGAGGCAATAGCATGGACTGATTTCATATAGATACATCAACAGACCATAATTTCACAGGATACTAAACCTGTACTATTTCTGCACATCAAATACTTCTAGGTCCAGAGATTAACACATACTGTTGTGGCCACTCGTGCAGACAATTACATCAATGTTTGGTTTTTTGCAGCACCAGTACTGTTGTGCTGGTTCCATAGATAAGATCAGTTTATTGAGGTTTCTCCATTTTCACATGCAGAAGAACTGAAATACAAAAGTTGGACATCGCCTTCTATTAATGTCTTAATTATGAAGATTGGAGTGTGCAAGTCAAAGATGCAACTTTCTAAGTTCATAAAGTACCTTACTACTAGAAGATTAAGGCAGCATCTGAGGTACTCAAAATTGCTACAACCTAGGGGCTTAATACTTTCTGTTACTAATATAGCAGTAACTAAAAAGATACTGTCCAGCAGTTCACTCAGGAATGCACCCGGTCCTGGTTTGTTTAGCACAATTATTTGTGCACAAATTAATACCAATGTATATTGGCAACTGATCCTTCAATGTTACTGTGATTACATCAACTTCAAGTCCATCAACATGACAACCAACTTATACCAAAAAAGCTGCACCACTGATCATGTGCTTTGGAAGAGACTACACAGTTGTCTGCAATTTAATTATTTCCCAGTGGTATTAGTATGGCATCATGCTCACTCTGGGGGTGATTTGATTACATAAAACAAAGATATACCAACATGTCAGAATCCACAACATTCCTTCTATACTCAACTGGTAGCAGAATGTTGCCTCGTAACTTGTTTGCTAATTTTGCAGGTTGAAGATATAGGGTCAGATTTCTAATGCATATGCATGGGGTTGATAATGGTTTCTGCAGCAAGAATAAATGACTACTTACTCAACCTGCAACTGCATATGATTCCATACACATTAGTTTTAATCTTAATTAATGCACATTGTGTGGTTGATGAATCTGTTCACTGGAAGCTACTATCCACATACTTCTTGAAGAATACATCACACACATATTTGTTGCTTGGTTATAGCTCCTTATTCAAAAATACATTACGATGTATTTGGGCTACAATTTCTGGGAATTAGCTATTGCTTGGTTTTCAAACAACACTATTTCTGCCCACCAAGTTGCTCAACAAAGTTCAGTGTCAAGCAGCCTGCTTCTTCTATTGAGGATACTTACTACACTGTCTTCTTTATGATTGTGTCCTTTCTGTTTGGAGTTGTTTCAACACTCAGTTGTATTAGCATTATATAATGCTCAGCCTGTGGTTGCTACAACAACACATAGAAAGATACTAGTCAGCTTCTCCAGGTTCTGGTTTCCCATTTCACAGCAGGCTAAAACTTTGTTGTTGCTGCACATAAATTCAAGAAATCTTCAGATTTGAGGCATTTGCAGCTTCATTTGATGAAGGTCATTACACCACCAGGAAACTCCACTAATTTTCAGTTAATGCGGCACAAAGACACAAGTGTTATTTCAATCTCCAGTTCAATGAACATCTGGATGACACTTCTTCCATGTGCAGATTCAACTTCCATTAACTGGTTTCTTGATCAAATGTTACCATTACCATTGCAAAATGGATATCAACTAGACAAAAGGAAAATGACTTGTTCTGTATCAATAATATTGATGCAACTACTCAGCCCCAAACTGAAGGTGTCTGAACTGCTTTGTTGTACATCATGTGGATTCCTACAATTTTACTCCAGTAGATTGCAACAAATGGCGCCTGGTGAGAGCTTTGTAGGTGCTACAAGGGATTGTTTACAACTGGTGTGTGAATTCAATGACGTCAGCAACAATTGGATGTTTCAAATTAGTAGCCTAGTACTTTTAAGTTATCATTATGCTACTGCTACATTGTATTTGGTAGCAATAGCCATTGACTTTCTTTGTTTTTTCTTACTTACTTTCCTTTTGCCTGAACAATTGTATCAGTTTGGGGCTTATTATATATATATATATATATATATATATATATCATCTACTAGGGGAATAAACTAGTAGTATATTTGCTTAAAAAAACTATTTCAAACACTATTGATTGCCAATCCCCGGCAACGATGCCAAAATTTGACGAGCTCAAAATATCACTTTAATTTATGCTCGCTAGTCAAAGATAGTATAGTGTAATATCGTATCCACATGGATTGGAGTTAAACAATATTTTCATATTTTCTAGCTTGATTGCTATCTAGGAGTATCACCAATCAAGATTTATTTGATTAATAACTAAAATTAACTAAGAATATAGAGTTATTGACTAATGACAATCGAAACAAAGATAAGCAGAGAAAGTTATCAGTGGGAGAAATAGGGGTTGATAGGATAGGTGCAAGATAATTGTTTGGGATGTAATACTAGGTAATTCACTTCTAATGTTTAAGTGAGTCTCTCGAATTCACTCAATTATCAGTTCAACCGTTCAGCAAAAACTCCTCTCTCGATTAAGTCTTAACCTCACAAGATGAACCAATTTAATCACGTGAAGATATGCAAGAATGCGTAGTGGATTGGTCTTTAGGAGAACCTCTCTTGATTATTATCCTAACTAGGTTTAATCAATGATTCAACTAGCCTCTTTCAATTACTAAGAAGAATTAATGAACTCAACCAACAATATAATACAAAGATATCACAAGCTATGCCTCTTTCGATTACATGAACTAGTGAGTATAGATGTAACAATTAAATCATCCAAAAATGCTTCAATACATAAAACTAGAGTTATAATCCACAAACAATCATCAATACAGAAAATCCATCAAACCCTAAAGAGAACTACTCCATATATATGGAGTAATTCATCACAAATATAATAAAAGTATAGGAAAACATAAATTCAAACCAAACTCAGGCCTTGAGTGAGGAAGGAATGATGAAATTCTTGTGCTTGTGTTCTTCCGACTCCTCCTTAGCCTCCTTAGATCGAATATGTGTCAAAAGTCCAAAAATAACGTTTTCCATGTATTTATACCAAGTAGTATTGGGCCCAGACGAAATTACCTTCTCCTAGCTGAATAGGATTGTCACTCTATAAAAATTACATAGGCGCATCGTATGGGGCAACGCGCCATCCGGGGCATTAGTGGAAAAATCCATAGAATTTGTTTTGACAGGCAGCAAAGATTTACACAGCCGCGGTGCACCACGCGGCACCCTACGCGCTGCACTAGTGCACTTTTCTCAAAGTACGTCTCAAATCTCAATTTTTGACGTCCAGACTTGGTTCTCGACCCCCGAACATGATTCCGGCTTAATCCCTTAGGATTTTACTCAGATTTTAAATCTCCAAATCACTCTAATTGTTTCCATAACATCTACATACCTCGGAATCACTCCTATAATACAACACACAATTAGTACAAAACACTATCAATTAATGCTCAAAACGAATAAATTGCAGTAAATTGGAGTGCAATAAGTGACTAAAATATGAGATTATAGCCTACCATCATACCGGGCGCTCATATCCGCATACGAGCGAGTGTAAGGAATTCAAAGAGACATGCTTCAAGCTGAATCAATGTCGCACGATAAGGAATGTAAGATGTGAAGTTTATCATAGATGCCATGTAGCCTCTCGAAGATAGGTATGGACGTCATCATACCGATCCGCAAGACTCTACTAGACATTTGCTCAAGACTCGTAGAACTTATAAACCTAGATCTCTGATACCAACTTGTCACGACCCAAAATTTAACTATCCGTAATGGTACCTAACCCAACCCGCTAGGTAAGCCAATTAAAATAAATTACAATATATTGATAATGATAAGAGTCAAAAATAAAATAACTGAATTTTATACAACTCCCAGGGACTGGTAGTATAAATCACGAGTTTCTAAGACTTAAAGTTTATAAAGCTAGTATGAAATAAATACATCATCTTATCGAAATGTACATAAACAGATTTATAAATCTAAAGCTACCAAGAACAAGAGGTAGATATAACCGGAACGCAGGTACATCTACAATGCCAGCTCCCACCATACACAGCAACATCAACTCCAAAATCTGCACGCAAGGTGCAAAAGTGTAGTATGAGTACAACCGACCCCATGAACTCAATAAGTAACAAACCTAACATTAGGTTGAAAGCAGTGACAAGCTTGGACAACGGTCACAGTCCAACACCAATGGCCAAGAACAACTCGTAATAATATAATAAAAGCAGGACAAGTAATAAATCAATGATATGATGCTCAACTTGTTCACAATTACGGAAAATAGGCATGCTTTTCAGGTATATTAGTGAAACCCAAATCATTCACCGAAATCACCAAAATATGAGTATATCAGAAAACTATGATTTTTCCCAAAAACATTCAACAACCGATAAGATATTTTATTCTCAGATAGCATGAGGAAAGTACATCTTTATGCCTATATGTCAATGTGCATGTGAAGTCATGAATGTCACAACACCATATAGCATGAGGAAATGCATCTTTATGCCTATATGTCAAGTATGCATGTCAAATGCAATACATCACAGTGATGAACGTATGTACTCACACTCTGGGAGTACTCAATCTCACTATCTCGCACTCCCACTCATCACGCTCAATCACTCAACATACTCAGTCACTCGGCATTGTATGGTTCCTGCGCCCACTGCTAGTATATTAGACTCCAGAGGGGAGGATCCTGCCTAAGTGCTAATATAAGCCAACATGGCATATTGCAGCGTGCAACTCGATCCCATCATGAATCAATAAAACTTGATGCAGCGTGCAGCCCGATCCTATCATGAATCAATAAAACCTGCTATGGCGTGCAACTCTATCCCATTATGAATCAATAAAACCTGTTGCGACATGTAGCCAGATCCCATAAATATCACTCACAATCCGACCCTTAGGCCCCAACTCAGACATCAATCTCTCTAGTCTCTCGGACTTACAAATCTAATGCCAATTACCCCAAACAATGATAATATGATGTGACAACAAATGATAATAGAGATTGAGATATGACATGCAAGTGAATGAATATGACTGAGTACACAAATGCAATTTAATCAAATAACTCAACAACAGAGATGACCTTAGTTGGTCCCAACAGAATAAGCATATAGCCTAAACATGATTTCTAATACGGTTCACGGATCATACAATCAAACGAGTAAGGACCACATGGATGTAACAAGATATAACCGCAAAACAAGTATGTTCATAGTCTAATAGTCGAAAACAATCACGATTTCCTTGGTGCACGCCCACACACTTGTCACCTAGCATGTGCGTCACCTCAATACATCTCCAATAACACAGTTCCCAGGGTTAAATACCCTCAAATCAAAGTTTAGATATGTTACTTACCTCGAACAAGTCAAATCCAATACCGAGTTCGCCAAACAACACTCTAGAAATGCCATCCCATGCGTACCAACCTCTGAACGGCTCGAACCTAGCCAAAAGCAACTCAAGAACATCAAATAAATCCAAAGGAAACAAACCCAATCGATAAAGGTTGAATCTTTAATCAAAAAGCCCAAGTCAACCAAAATGTCAAACCCGGGCTCACACATCAGAACCAGAAAAAGCTGACAAAATCTGACCACCCACTCAATTACGAGTCCAACCATACTAGTTTCACTCAAATCCGACTCTGCATCGATGTTCAAAACTCAAATATTCACTTTATGAAAGTTTAGGCAAAAAATCCCCAAATTTCTTTTTGAAATCATCAATCAAAAGCCAAAAACGAAGATGGATTGATGAAATATAATCAAAACCAAGTAGAAAACACTTAACCCAATCCATGCGGTGAATATCTCCTCAAAAAGCACCTCCATCCGAGCTCCATAGCTAAACATATGCTAAAATATCTGAAACCTTTGAAATAAAGTACTTATAATTCACTGAACAATCATACCCAGAATTAATGAAACTACCTCCAAAAATACTCTATGTGTTTGCTATAATAGCCACACGAACGTGATGACCACATATATCTAACCTAAGCGATCGCGGCACAACTAACGTGAACGCGAAGAAGAAGTCTCCAGCTCCCAACTCTCAGCTTAGCTCAATGCCAACGCGGTGCACCATATGCGAACGAAAACAGTAACCAACACAACCCTACACGAACACGTTCCTGAAGATGCGAATGCGAAGAATAAAATTACTCATCTCTAGAGTCCCTCTACGCGATCGCATCTCCATCTTGGCGGGAATGTGATGCATCAGAGAGCAGCATAAGCCAACAAGCCAGCATAAGCCCCTCGGGACCCGTCCAAACATACCAACAAGTCCCAAAATAAAGACGGACCTACTAGAGGCCTCAAATCACCCTTAACAACATCAAAACCACTAATCGCACCTCAAATAGAACTTAATGAAATTTTTAACTTTCAACTTTCAAATCTCGTGCCGAACCATATCAAATCAACTTGGAATGAGCTCAAATTTTACACACTAGTCTCAAATAACATATCAAAGCTATTCCAATTCTCGAAACAACAATCCAAACCCAATATCACCAAAGTCAACTCCCAGTCAAACTTATAAACATTCCAAACTTTCAAATTTCCAACTTTCGCCAAATAGTGTCGAAACCTTCTAGAAATATCCAAATGAAAATTCGGACATACGCCCAAGTCAAAAATCACCATCCATACCTAACGGAACCGTCAAAACTCAAATCCAAGGTCAAATACACAAAATTCAAACTTGGTCAACTCTTCCAATTTAAAGATTCCTAGTTGAGAATCATTCTTCCAATTCAATTCTCAATCACCTGAAAACCAAAAAAAGACGATTCACAAAAGTTATAATACATCATATGGAGCTACTCATGCCCTCAAACCACCGATCAAAGTGCAAATTCTTAAAATGACCGATCGGGTTATTACAGCATTACTCGGGGTCCTTAAGACCCTTCTGAACTCTGAAGTGCCAGGGGCCTACATGGGGTCTTTATCCATGAATAAGATTTCATTCTAGGACTT